GTTGAGGAAAGCGAGGGTCGTTTGGTGGAGGGTGATTTGGATGATGATGATGATGATGATGCCAAGCCGTTGATCGACGAACAATCGTGCGAATTGGACAAAATTTGGCATGAAAACGGAGATTTGAGTGAGAGAGTTAAGATCGAAGAAGTTCTTGAATCGGACGATGAGAAATCATCGGAGGCCGACTCGTTCGACTCAGAGAAGGTGAATGTCGACTCGCTCGACTCCCCTCCTCGGTCTCCATGGACAAGAATCGAGGATCGTGAAGAAGAAGAAGAAGTTGATATTATACATGAGCTAAAAGTAAAACAAGAAAAACAACAACAAGAAGATTATGGTGATGATGATGATGATGATGATGAACGAGCCGAAAGTTCTGATTCCGGGTCGGACCGGGCCGAGAGCTCGTCCCCCGACGCGTCAATGGCCGACATACTTCCGATGCTCGACGAACTGCACCCGCTACTAGACGAGGACGCCCCCCGACCGGTGCATGACTTGGCATCCTCGGATAAGTCGAGCGTTCGGAGCCACGACTCGGATGATGAATCCGAGACCCACGACGAGGCGCGAGAGGAGATCGAAGGAGGTTCTAACTCGGCCATCACGTGGACCGAGGAGGACCAAAAGAACCTCATGGACCTCGGGAGTTCCGAGCTCGAGCGTAATCAGCGGCTCGAGAATCTGATCCTTAGGAGACGGGCCCGGAAGAGCATCGAGAGGAACCTAATTGACTTAGAAGGCATTGAATACCCGTTTGGTCTCACTCCCATCTCGACCCGGAGGCAGAACAACCCGTTTGACCTTCCTAACGATAATTCTTACAATGATTTAGGCTTGCCGCCAATTCCGGGCTCGGCTCCTTCAGTCTTGATCCATAGGCGAAACCCGTTCGACATTCCTTACGACCCGAATGAGGAGAAGCCGAACCTAATGGGGGACGGGTTCAAGGAGGAGTTTTCGGCTTTCCAGCCGAGGGAGGCCGTTTTCAGGAGGCACGAGAGCTTTAATAATGTGGGACCTTCGATTTTCGGACCCGGGAGGAGGGATGCAAACATGAGGCCGTATTTTGTGCCCGAGGGCTCGATTTTGGAGGATTCACCTTCCTCTTCGTTCAGGCGGCAGTCGAGCGGGCTTAGCGAGTCGAAGGTTAGTTCGGCTCCCGAGACTGAGTCGATTGTTTCAGTCGATGATTTGGAAGACAAGAAGCTGTCAGTCGAGCAAGAAATAGAGGAAGCTTTCGAGGGCCCACCAGGAGACCAAGAGCCGATTTCCCGTCAAGAAAAACAAGATGAAGCAGAAAATCGAGAATTGGAACCAATATCCGAGGCTGTGAATGTTTCGGAGCATGTGGGACATCAAGAAAAAGAAGACGAAGAAGAAGATGATGATGAAGAAGAAGAAAATCGAGAATTGGAACCAATATCCGAGATTGTGAATGTTTCGGAGCATGTGGGACATGGGAGTCAATCTTCGGATGACGAAGAATCTTCAGAGTTAGACCAAGTCGAAAAGAGAGATCTTGAAGAAGATCAATTACAAGATGTTGCAGATCATTTTATAGCAGAAAGTGTAACTGTCCAAGCTACTGAGTGTGATTCGAACTATGAAGGTGGTGAACACGTGTACAGAAGGGAATCGAGCTCATCTTCACTTTCGGAAGTGAGTGAAAGGGTTTTCACGGAAATAGAAAGTGGCGAAGGTTTTTTGGTGTTGGACGAAAGACTATATGGTGTTGCTCAAGAGCCCGGCATTTTGAATCAGACTTCTATAGAAAGTACTAATTCGGGTACTTTGCTTGTTGATGTCCCTCAATGGGCTCCTGTTTACGATTTGAGCCCTCGACACATTGAGCGTAACTTAGCTCTTCAAGCTGATGAACCTCAGTCAGTGGACATTGTCGATTCTAGAGAGAACAACAATGTGAGCACTGATTTTTCGGAAGTTGGAAAGGAATCTGAAGTAGAAAGTTCCTCGGTTGATCCCGGTTTTATACCCGAGATTCCTATTTCTTTGAAATCGAGTGTCGAAACTTTTGTGGAGGAAAATCTAGTTGAGGAACATGGTTTAAGGGAAGTCTCTGGTTCAAGTGCCGAAGAATTTATACATGACGTGGATGAATCTTCAAAAGAACAATTTGAGGTTAGTGGGCGATTTTCTGAGGGTCTGATGAGTGACGAACATGCGATGATGGGCAATGAAGAAGATAGAGAGACTGGTCGATCACAAGAGTCTGATGCAGATGCTTATGAAAGAGCTGATGAGAAGGCAATTTCGATGCCTTCGGTTGATGGAAATTCATATCCGTTTGATGATGCTAGAGAAATGCACATACCATATTCTGGGCATCTCGATGAAGTGCTGGTAAGTTAATATATAACATTTATTTTTTTCAAAAAAAAAAAAAAAAAAAAAAACTCACATTTGGTTTTGTTTCGTAACTAAGAACATCGACAAGAAAATATGTTAACTTTCAAAGATTCCTAGGTATTTGTATAGTAACTTTAAGAACCTTAACGAGAAAACACGTAAATTTTCAAAGATTTCAAGCTCCCCATTTGTTTCTTAATTGCATGGTTAACTTGAATGTCTGTTTAGTCCTCTAATATCTAGATTTTAAGCTAGGTTCTCTTGGCCGGTACATTACAGGAACCAAGTGTCCTAATCGAGTCATCTGAGGATGTTCAAGTTACACAGGATCTGAACATTCTTGAGACAGATTCTCATATAGCAACTGAAGAAGTAGATGGTATTAAAGACATTGACGAGGAATTGTTGTCCGAGTTGGATAATGTTGGGGATTTTAGTGTCAACCAATGGGGACTCGGCTCAAGCGAGATCGAAAAACGCATAGATTATTCCGTTGAAGAAATTTTCGCGCAAGACATCATAATTAGCAACACGAGAGTTGCTGCTGACATTGACTTGGATGAAGAAAGCGATAAAATCGAAGATGAGGCTCGTTTGGAGAAATCGAAGGAGGTCATTGATATTCACGAACAGGAAGTGGAAGCTAAAACAGAAAATGCCGATCATTTTGCTTTTCTCGATCGGGAAGATAATTTATCTGGAACACCTGAAATCGAATTGCGACCAGACGAAAAAAATGTTTCCTTTTTGGTGAAAGATGAGGTGTCATTGGTTGAACTCGAGGCTACTAAAATCGAGGATATTGACCTAGCATTCAAAGAAATCATTACTTCGAAGGAACTCTATGAAGGTGTGCCTATAGTTCAAGAAACACTAGCCGATGAAAAAATCGAGTCTTTTTCCAACAAAGCCGAGTTTGCATCTGTCGAAAATGAGATTACCACTTTTCAGATAGCTAAGCTTGAAGCTCATAAAATCAAGAATGATGATTTGGAAATTAAAGAAATCACTTCTTCGAAGGAACCACCACCCGAAGCCAATCCGGTGTCTCAAGAAACTCTACCCAATGAAAAAATCGAGTCCTTTTCAAATACAGCTGAGTTGGCATCCGTGGAAAATGAAATCACCTATCAAGATCAAGTTGATAAAGAGACCATGTCTGAAATGGTTGAGCTTGAAGCTAGTAAAATCGAAGATATTGATCTAGCTTTGAAAGAAATTACTAGTACAAAACCAGTCGAAGAAGAGCCAGTAGTTCAAGAAACTCTGGCCGATGAAAAGATTGATTCTTTTCCTAGCAAAGTTGAGTTGGTTGAACTCGAAGCTAGTAAAATCGAAGATATTAATATGGCAATCAATGAAATCACTTCTAAGGAATCACCCAAAGCTGAACAGGTACTTAAAGAAACTCTAGCGGAGCATCCCAAGAAAGATGCACTGAATGAAAGTTCAAGTGAGACAGATTTCACTCACGATGCATTGGCTGTTGAAGTTAGACAAGTCGAGAAAGATGTTACTTTGGTTTCAAACCAATCACTTTCTGATCCGGTTGATTATGCTCAGGAAGCTTCTTCCGAAATGATCGTACTTTCAGAGGGTACTACTTCTTTGCCACTGGCTGATGAAGTGCAAGGTAAATTGCTCGAACATGATGAGCCAATTGGAGTCGAGGCAGACAAGGTGGGTCCAGCTGTGATAGATGCGAATGTGCAAGAAGTTAGTGTGGAAGTTGAAAAGCCAGATGACCAAGATGAAGCACCTAAGGGAAAAATCTCTAGAAGCTCAAGTTCGAGCTCCAGCTCTAGCTCGGACTCAAGTTCAAGTGATTCTGAGAAGGAATGAGGACCGGAGATTGAAATAAGGACGTGTTTGGCATGTTACATTATTGGTTTTTGGATTTTTGGTTTGGTTTTCTTTGTTTTAGCTGACGAGATGGTCGGTTTCTTCAAGAATGAGTTGTTTTGATTTGATTTCTTGAAGTTTTTGAGGTTTGACAGTTTTTTTTTTTTTTTGGTTTGGTTGTGAGAAGAATATTTGAGTCTTGTTAAAAGTTGGAAGCTTGATACCGAGTGTCCTGTAAAATATGTGCATAACTCGAGTTTGCTGATTGGTATGCCCTGATACTGTATTTCATGGTTATACTATGAAATGAGTGTTTTTTCTTTTTGTTTGGGGACAAATTTTTTGTTAGACTTAGTGTATTTCTACATATGTTGGTGCTATTTCAATTTGAAAATGTTTGTTACATGAAAAATTCTGATGGTTTTGAAAATTAAGGACAAAACCAGCAGTTACAGTTAGGACATATTACAAACCGTAACTGAGCTGCCGAAACCACGGTTAATGGTTAGTCTTAAATGGAACCACGGTCAATGGTTAACGAAACTGTTGACCGAAGGTGGCGGTTCGATCACAAAACTTGAAAATGTCTAATTCCATCGTTTTCGAATCCTAATGGTTGAAGCCATAAAATAACAGTGGATTTTCATGAAATACATCACCAACTTGAACACATCCATGGTTAAGTCCAAACACTCATATTAGTAACTATTACAAGTTTTAATAAACTTAAGGAAAATAAGCACCACCCGTAACACGACAAATACCGAACGATTCCTCAGAGTTCATTAAGAACAGTTGGTATCGTAACTTGCAAGTCCCAGCAGCTCAGGGCCTTCCAGTCGGGGGTTGTTCTCAAAGCTACAAAATGCAACAAAAAAAGGTCATTAAAACCAGGTTGAAAGAGGATGGAGAGCATAGATTTGCGTATAGTGATCAAGGGGAAGCAAAGGATCGTAAACTCACCATAACAATAATAGTTTGTTTGAATAATTTGAAATTGTATAGATCTGGTAAGATTTAGCACTTTTACACATTGACTTCTTATCAATATCCATCACATTTCCAGTTATATTCAAAAGAGGAAAGCAAAATAAAATAAATAATCTCCAAGCTTTTATAAACACAAAAAGGGGAAGAAAAAGAGTTTTCAATATTATCCAATCAATAGGATAAATTCTCCATGCCTGTACAGATAAATATGACATAATTGAATTCCAATGTATTTTGGCTAGATGAATGATTGAAAAGCTGGTTCTTTTTTAACATCCCACATATGAATATATGATCCCCAGGCTACCCCCTTGCCCCCTACCTCGCATCATTACATCCATAAATTTACATATATAAAATGCCCAGGTGATAAGGATGTAACATTCAAGATGTTCGACAAACCAATATATCAAAGATATGATCATACATTATACAACGAGCAATTTAACGAATCTTACTTGTTCAATGGGATATGTTCAAAAGGACCAGTGGTAGGAATCGTTCCACACAAGTTGTTCTTTGAGACATCTCTGCAAAAATGTACGCTTATCTTAGCATAACCCATTAGGGTGTCTCCAATGGTTAGCTATTTGGCTAGCTATTATGACGTGAACAAGGGAAAAGTAAGAGAGAGAGTAGTCACTAGCTACTAACAAATAGCTTATCTATTTCACGTAGCCCAAGATCATGTGAGAGGAGTATGTGGGTCCAATAGTGTAAAATAGTCATTTTTCTTATCTCTCACATCCACGTCAGCTGACTATATAGCTAGTAATAGCTATTACCATTGGAGATGCCCTTAGTATAAGGATATTAGCACCAGTTTTCTTGAGAAGCACTTACACGACTTTCAAGCTAGAAACACCAGCTAATGACCTTGGAATTGGTCCATGAAGCTGATTATCATTCACACGTCTGCCAAATAAATAAAGGGTTATTGAAAAATTTAACTATGTAACTTTATCATCAGTGCTGGTTGTGCACACAAGAAAAAAATGACGAAAATGTAGACAAAAGGAAAAACTTAAGTTTCCATAGGAAATATTGATCTATTAAAGCTATGCCAATTGTGTATAAAAAAAATGAAATGACCCATTCATCAACGCATATGAAACAAAACAAAACCAATTGCACGTACTATCTAAGTTAAGAAAAGTTTATGAAGCTAAACAAAATCAAACCTACCAGTAAAAATAAGAATTATATAAACGATGACAGAGTTAAAAGTGAAAACTTACAGAAAGACAAGAGATTGCAACTTTCCCAATGAATCGGGTATTTTTCCGGTGAGATTGTTGTTATATAGGTCCAAACTTATTAAGTTCTTCAAGTTACCAAGCTCAGAAGGAATTGACCCTTGAATGTTATTTTTGTAAAGCTCCCTGCAGGATAAAGACGGTGGCAATCCATTTATGCAGCAAAAGAACCGAAATACAATGTAATATAACCAGAGCAGTAACACAACCCAAGCAAAGGATTTATTTAGACAAAATGTAGCATAAATCAAATGGCTTCATCTGCCGATACGAGATAAAGTCGAAGAATTTTCCTTACAGATACTGGAGATGCTCAAGATTTCCAAGCTGAGGTACTAGGTGACCAGATAAATTTGAGTTCCCAAGGTCCCTGACAGAAAGTGATAACAAAACGAGAAGATTGAGTCCCAGATTTCTATATAAATAAACATAAGAAAGAAAGCTCCAAATATCGAAAAAGAATAAAAGGTTAAAATATGAACAACCCGGTGAGAATTTCACCAAAAACAGAGACTCAAATAACATAGTTCCTCAAGTCCCTAACCATTGATACTATGAAGAATGTCACTAGTCTTTCGTTACACTAAATCTCAAAGTATCAAGTCATCCTCTGTAGCCCAAACGAAGAGCACAACATACAACAGACCAACGGGAGACTCTACGAAAATCCGGAGATAATCATATACTCAAATATGGGCCAAGATTACTTTTTTTTTCAAAGTATTTTCACAAAATTACAATCCAAACTTCTTTATTCACAAACTGAAGCAAAGATATCATCTTGTAATATCAATTTAATGTAATGCTAAATAGCACCCTTCTCATAAATCACACAGAACAGTAGCCCACAATCACAACTATAACAACTCCAAAACTAGCTAACAAATATATCAGATGTACCCAAACATTCAAACACCAAATCCCTAGAAAACACACACATTCTCTGCCATTCTTTATTTCCCCAAATAATAATAACTCAAAAATCAATAATAGACATACACGCGAGTGACGCGGTTTTCCCGGTTGCATGTGATGTGGAACCAGGTGCAGGGGTTCACGAGGGTCGGATCCCAGCTCTGGAGCACTTTATCCGGGTCGATCAGGCTCCGGCGAAGCGCGTAAAGCGCGTCCCCTTCCGAATTCCCACGCGCCGTCGGAAGAACTACCGACAGGGACACAATGGTCAGGGCAAGAAGCACCGGAAGCGATCTTTCAGCCATAGCTACCAATGATTGAATAGTGAAGCTCTTTCGATGGTGATTTGCAGCTCCAAGTTTCAGCTGTGTCTGTTGGGTGGGTTTCAAATTAACTCTTTGCCTTAGCTTTTATTGTATGATTTGCAGAGTGATTGACTGATTGATTGATGGGAGAGAGCAAAGAATCGATTTTGGGAACGCAAATAGGCAGAGAATATTAATTAAGTATTTAATTTATTCTCTCACTTTATTTTTCTTTTTTTCTTAAAAAAAAATATTTTTAATTTTTTTTTTTAAATAAACGACATTTTGTTCATTTGTACATATTTTTTCATTTTATTATCTTCATTTAGATAATAAATACACTACTTTTTCATACCCACGTTTCTCCTAAAACATTCATCTCTATTTTTATTAAATATGATTATTATTACGATTGTTATTGAGAATAAAACAAAATTTAACTACTGTTCAACTTCTCAAAACGAAGCGTAGGGAGTATGGTGTAAGTTGTTTTTTTTTTTTT